GAACATTGGGGAGGGGGGTTGTCTGAGCTCTGGGCTGTGGCTGAAGGAATGTCCGTTCTTCCCTCAACACAGCTTGACAACTGTGCTGGGAGCTGGTCTGCACGTGTGCCTTGCGCCTGCACATTACCTCAGCAAGCCTCCTGCTCCAGAGGAAATGTTTTAGTGTTTCCTCCCTAGAGTCCTAATGACCCTGAGCCGGGCCTCACAGTGTGGTGCTCAGGGCTGCTGGACCCCATTTCTGCCCATCTTACCCCATCCCTTCCCAGGAAGCAGGTGGAGAACAAATTGGGTGAATCCAGACTGGAGACCCCTCCAGTAGTCACAGCTAAGACTGGGGTACTTCTAGGGTGCCCCAGAGCCTGACCCCAGGTTTAGCTGCCCTATCTGGGAGAGATCCCCTCAAACCTCTGACTCCCTCTGTCACCCCCAAGTGCAGATGTGCACATTCTAACTTGTTCTAAGCAGGTTCCCTAGAGGGGCAGTTTTCTCCTTTTCAAACCCACCAGGGGCCATATGAGGCTCTCGTGAATGTCAAGCTCTCAGGGAGCTGTTCCCTCAGGGCATCAGCCAGTCATGGACCTGGACGCTTCCGCTGTTTACCTAGCCTCTTTGATCCAGGGATTGCAAAGCCCTTAACATATTCAGCCTCATTAGTGGTCTCTGAAGTGGTGGCTTTGATGGTTTCAGCCAGGTGAAAAAAAAAACAAGGCCACAGAAGAGGCCCCAGGTCACCTGGGTGAGTCCAGCCACCTCACCGGCTCAGTGGGTCCCTGCTGAGCTTAAAATGGCTAGAAAGGTGAGTGGAAAGGCTTTCTTTGCTTAGTGACTAAAATAGCCCCCACCTTTACTCTGACCATGCCCACCCAACTAGGGTCCTGGGAGGGACTAAGTTTGTCCCAGCTCCTGATTTGGGCACATAGAGGATGCTCACAGTGTAACCACAGAGGCTTAGCTTGTTAGGGTATAAGGAGCAGGCTTCACTTGGATATGCTTGTTTCAGAGGGTGAGAAAGCCAGGAACCAATGGTACGTAAGTGTGTATGCCTGTTCAGCCCGTGGTGAGCCAACTACCTCTCTAGTGACGGAATGTGTCAGCAAACTCAAGACCAAGATCCCTGCCCTCTTGAAGATTACATTCTAATAGGGTAGACAGAAAACAAACCAAATTATATAGTCTTAGAAGGTCAGCGATACTAAAAAATATACATAGCAGGATAAGGGATTGGAATAGCTGAAATATGCAATTTTTAAAAAGTCAGCCCTGGCCGGTTTGGTTCAGTGGTTGGAGTGTCGGCCTGCGGATCAGAGAGTCCTGGGTTCGGTTTCCGCTAGGGGCATGTATCAAAAAATAAAAAGAAATAAAAGAAAGAAATAAAAGAAGTCAGAGTGGCCCGGCCGATGTGGTTCAGTGGTTGAGCATCAACCCATCCATCAAGAGATTGTTGATTCAATCCCCAGTTAAGGGCACATGCCCAGATTGTGGGCCAAATCCCCAGTGGGTAGCATGCAAGAGTGGCCAATGAATATTCTCTGACATCAATGTTTCTCTCTCTTCCTTTCTCTCTAAAATCAATAAAGAAAAAAAGTCAGGGTGGATCTCATCAAAAGTGTAACTTTATTTTTTAAATCCTCACCTGAGGATATTTTCCATTTATTTTCAGATATATATAGAGAGAACCATCGATGTGAGGGAGACACATTGACTGGTTGTCTCCTGCATGACCTCAACCAAACTGCAACTGAGGTACGTGCCCTTGACCAGAATCAAACTCACAACCTTTTGGTCTGTGGGCCGACACTCTAACCACTGAGCCAGACTGGCCAAGGCAAAAGTGTGACATTTGATTGCACAGATTTAAAGGCATGTGGTGGGAAGAAAGCTATGCAGATGTCTGGGGAAAGAGCGTCCAGGCAGAGGGAACTTCTCTGATAATGTACACATGTTCCCAGGATGCATGTCTGAGGAGGGCGTGTGCACCTGAGGGTGTCTAGCTGGCCTTGTGCAGGTGCGTGTGCTCACTGGTGTTCATATGCAACCTGCATGGGTGTGAGAAGCAGGAGAGAGTAAGACAGGAGTTCCCGGTAACACCTACCATTTCTCGAGTGCTTTTACCCTAGGCCAAAACTATGCTAAGGTCTTCCGATCATTGCTGCTCATTTCATCTTCACAACTCCATGAGAAGAGAGCAAGGATTATCTCCATGTCACAGATCAGGAAACTAATGCCAGAGAGATCAGAGAAGTTTGTCTGACTCCAAAGCCATTGCTGTTAACCCCTGCACCGTCCTGCCCTACACTCTGAATTCTCATGGATGAGCATGACAGCATGTCTCCTGTACATATATGCATATGTGACAGGCCATGTTGGCATGTGACAGAATGAGTTTGTATTTCTGTGACATTTGCCATTTTATATATGACTATGGCAGAGTGTAGCAATATGACAAGATGTACATTTTCTTGATGTAAATGTGACAACAGCCATGACTTGTGCTGATTGTCAGAGGCCTATGATGATAACAGGTGTGCCTGTGGGGATGTCTGGGGGGGGTACAGTACGTGTGAGAAGAACGCTGGCATTGTTCTCTCATGGACAATTCCTGCAGGCATCTAAGATGCCAGGACAGGCAGGAATCAAGAACTGAAAATCAGCCCTGGCTGGTTTTTTCAGTGGTTAGAGCGTCGGCCTGCAGTCCAGAGAAACCCGGGTTCGGTTCCTGCTAAGGGCATGTACCTCGGTTGCAGTTTGTCCCCGGCCCTGGTTGGGTCATGCGGGTGGCAGCCATTCGATGTGTCCCTTTCACATCGATGTTTCTCTCTCTTCCACTCTATCTGAATAAAAAAATGGAAAAATGTCCTCGGGTGAGGATAAAAAAAAAAGAACTGGAAATCAGAGAGCCAGTCGGGAAGGATGAGGAAGGAAAGCCCCCTATCCCCCATCCTCGTGCTCACCAGGCAACAGTTCACCCACCCCTATGACCACAGTAGGTGGGGGAACTCCAGAGGGGAAAGAAGCATTGCTGTAAGATTAGGGAATAGGAGGTATGTTCCCTAGGCGGTTACAAATGTTTTGGCCTCTCCAGTCCCACTCTCCACCCTTCTCCCTGCTATTTTCCCTGAGGAGGATCAATTACTACATCAATGACTCCCTTGTTCCCTGCCTTCCTGCTGGGTTTGGCCAATGAGAGGACCAGCAGGAAATTAGAGAATGGGGTATGTATTCCCCTGCTCCCTCCCCACTAGGTCGTCCTGTCTGCTATACCCCTCGAAGCGCCTGCTCCTGTCAGGGACCTCTCCACACAGCTGTACTCTCACCCCTTTGCCCTCCCCTCCATTCCCCCTTTTAAGTCCACAGTTGTAAAGGTTTCCCATTTTTACTATCCCCTGAGAGCTGTACCATCCCTTGTTTCATATGCCACATTTTTGGAAATAGTGCCCTTTATTTTTTAAATTTTTTTGTTAATCCTCACTGGAAGATTTTTTTTTTTTATCCTCACTCTAGGACATTTTTCCATTTTTTGTTCAGACAGAGTGGGAGGGAGAGAGAGAGAGAGAAACATCAACGTGAAAGGGACACATCGAGTGGCTGCCACCCACACTACCCAACCAGGGCCAGGGACAAATTGCAACCAGGGTATGTGCCCTTAGTGGGAACCGAACCCGGGTCTCTCTGGACCGCAGGCCGACACTCTAACTGCTGAGCCAAACCGGCCAGGGCTCCATTGATTTTTTTAACAAATTTTTTTCTTTTTCTTTATTGATTTTAGAGAGAGAAAGGGAGGGAGAGGTAGAGAAACATCAATGAGAGAGAACATCAATTGGCCACCTCCTGCATGGCCCCCACTGGGGATTTGACCCACAACCTGGGCATGTGCCCTGATGGGGAATCGAACCAACAACCTCTTGGTGCATGGGTGGATGCTCAACTACTGAGCCACACCAGCCAGGCTCCACTGATTTTTTTTTTTTTTTATCCTCACCCGAGGACATTTTTCGATATTTTGTTCAGATAGAGTGGGAGGGAGAGAGAGGAAGAGAGAGAGAGAAACATCGATGTGAAAGGGACACATCGGCCCTGGCTGGTTTGGCTCGGCGGTTAGAGCATCGACCTGCGGTCCTGAGAGACCCGGGTTCGGTTCCCGCTAAGGGCGCGTACCTCGGTTGCAGTTTGTCCCCGGCCCTGGTCGGTCGTGCGGGTGGCAGCCACTCGATGTGGTCCTTTCACATCGATGTTTCTCTCTCTCTCTCTCTCTGTTCCTCTCTCTCCCTCCCACTCTACCTGAACAAAAAAATGGGAAAATGTCCTCGGGTGAGGATAAAAAAAAAAAAGGGACACATCGAGTGGCCGCCACCCGCATGACTGCCAGGCTCCATTGATTTTTAGAGAGCGTAGAAGGGAGGGAGGGAGGGAGGGAGGGAGGGGAAGGGAGGGAGAGAGAGAGAAATCAATGAGAGAGACACACATCAATTGGTTGCTGTTGGCTGCCTCCCCAGCCAGGGTGGAGGTTGAACCTGCAACCCAGGTACATGCCCTTGACTGGAAATTGAACCCATGACCCTTCAGTGCAAGGGCCAACACTCTAACCATTGTGTCATACAGTCCAGGAATGAAATAGTTTCTTTTAAATCTCTTCCCAGTTAGAGTGTGCCCTTGTCTCCTGCTGGGACCCTGACTGACAGGTCCATACAGTCACCAGCAGTCACATGTTATCACAAACAAGCACGACCTCCCTCACAGTCACAGCCTCACATGTGCATTCCCACCCCCTAGCTTCCTCATCACAGCCTTCATTAGGAAGACCTGCTGGAGAGGGTCAGCTTTGAACCAGGTCAAGGGAGAAATCAGTCTGCTAATCAGTCCACGGTCTCAGGATTGCCAAATGAAACTAAACAAGTTGCTCGAGGAACTAACTGCCAACTTAAAGTGGTGACAGATACACAAAGGAAAACAAGGTAAGGACACTTGCAAAGTAAACCTCAAAACCACATGCAATTGTCTTACATTATTGAAGTTTATTCTTCCTGAATGTATGAATCAGGGGACTGACTTAATACACATTCATTTTGAAGAATTCTACAAGTTCTGGGTTGTGTGTGAGTAAATGTGGCCCCCTTCCCTCTATTATGAGGATAAATGTGAATAAGTGTGGTTCCTTTTCTCACTTAAAACTTTGCTTACAATTATGTGGCCACTACCTCTTTCTGAGAAAGAGGTATGTCCCCCAAAAAGCTAGAGCTGATCACCTTTCTGAAGGGCCACAGGCATGCTCCCACGGAGACGGGGCAAGAACCGTGAATGAGGAAAAGAAGTTTCTCAAACCGGTTTCTCTCAAACAGGTCTCCAAGCTGTTTGACTGAGAAGCAACTGCAGCTACTAAGCCGCGTTGTGACTTGTTTAAAAGAATGATGACTCTATTTTTTAAAGAAATCCTTTTCACTTTCACACTGGAAATGTTTACTGCACTCTTAAATAATCTGATTGCATCTCAGGGACCTGTAGTAACACTTCCAGTTGTACAGCGTAAGCCAAAGTCGAATATGGCATACATAAAGAAATTCAAAGGATAGGCAATTTCCCCAGAATCCAGCCCCTCGCCTCGGTGAAACCAAGTGCTCCCATGAAGTGAGGAGGGCTCAGAGTTGTGTAGGGTTGACCGAAGAAGTCTTCCTGAAGGAGGTGCTCAGGGAAAGAACAGAATCCAGGAGTTCAGATCCACAGAGTTGCTGGGAGGAGCTGGAGAGAACAATTTCAAGATCTTCAATTACCTCTTTCCCACAGCCACCCAGCCCCACCCAGACACTTCAACATCTACCTCCTTAAGAGGGACCATTATGGAGAGAAGGTGCCAGGGCAATATTATGGAACTGGGCTCCACTGACTCCCACCCTGGAACGGGTGGAGGCTCCTGGGGTAAGCAGAGGTTCCCTTGGGTCTTTGTCCTTGGCTGGGATCCCCACTGGTCTGAGCAGCTGGAATGGAATGTTCCTGGGATGAAAAGCCTGCCCCTTCCTCCACCTCTCCCCTTTATGGAGTTCCCCAGGGCCTGTGGTGGGGAGAGGGAAACTGTTCCAGGGATTCCTGATATGGCGATGCTCTGGAGAAGGGAAGGCCCACACTGTCCGGGAGCTATGTCCTGGCAGCCTCTCCGAAGCTGGGCGGATCTGCTCCATTACCCATGTACAGATCTCTCTAGGTGCTAGGCGCTTAGTGTGACCTCATATTTAATACTCAGAAGCTATCTCCTCCCTAGCTGCCCAAAATAAACACACACAGAAAAGAAACTGGCTCAGGAAGAAGTTAACTTATTTGCCCAAGGTCTCCCAGCTGAGAAGTTCCAGGCCAGGATAGAATCCTAGGTCTGTTTTGTTCCAAGCCTGGGGTACTTCCTACCCTACCATGGGGCCTATCAGCCCCCTTCTCTGCCATCCCAGGCTCTTTGCTTTCCTGGCACCAAACCTCCGAGCCCTCCAAGGCAAGCACAGGCCCTCAGCATGGTTGGCCGGCCCTTACCTGAAATCAGGTGTGCTGACTCAGCCTAACTCTATCCCCTTCCCCCAGAGCACAGACAACCCAGGTTGGGGAGCCAGTCTCTGGAGGTGTGCTCAGACCTTGGAGAGGGGCACCTTCTGCTATCCCTCCAGTATCTTATCACATCATTTCCAGACCAAGGACCAGGGGTCACTGGCCCCAGACATAAAGGTGAGAGTACAGAAATCCCCCCATATTCACCTGATAAATGATAAAAGCCACATAGCCAGAAGTTTAAGGGATCTCCCACCTAGAGGTTATATATCCTTGGGAAAATCACCTGTCTTCCTTGACCCTGTTTCCTTATCTGTGGAAATGGGAATAATAAACCTTATGTTGCAGAATAGCGTGGAGGATTGAAACAGATAATGGGTGTAAAGTGCTTAGCACAGTGCCGGGTATAGAGGTGGTAATATGTTATTCCAGAGCCAAGGATTCCCTTCCCCCATGACTCCTGGCCAGGTTGCGGCTGGTCAGGACTAATGGGGGAAGAAATACACTGGGGATCTCCCAGCCTTCCCAAACATCTCCTGCCCTGTTGGCTCTCTCCTTCGGCTCTGAGAAGTCTGGACCCCTAGGTTTTTCTCCAAAGCTGGCTGTCAGGGAAAAGGAGCCTCCTGGAGATTGCCCATTTGCAGGTTTGGAGCACCTGAGCCAAGACCTGTTGCTTCAGCCTAATCTCTAGGAAGCCACCTTGGTCCCCAGGTGGTGGTGAGACAGGGTGTTCTGATCATTTATCAGTGTAACAAATCTGTGAGAAGCAAAGTGACTCCGGGCTTCTACTCAAATGGTGACCACCAACAGGGGCAGCCTCTTTCCAGGAAAGTCTTTCCTGATGAGCCTTCTAGCCAGACCCAGAGACTGGCCCCACCAGAAGGCTTCTTTTGAGCCTCTTCTCTAAGTGACCTCCCCTAACTGCTCTTCTGCCAGACTCTTAAAGCTCAAGGCCTAGGGCGCCCTACCACTGCTAGAAGAGGCTGGTTTGGGGCGGGAACACCAGGAGTCCGAGCTGCTCCAGGCTACGCCCAGGTGCCCAAGGAAGCAGCCCCACACTGCCCTCTGGTGGTGCCACCCAGAGACTGGAGGGATGCTCTCACTTGGCAAGGGCCAGCCAAGAGCAGAGCGGACCGGCTTATTTAGGGGAGGAACAGGTCTCGGACTAGAACCCTGAATTGGTTCTCTAGCCTCAGGCATTAACCTGAAAAAAGGTTCCTGTTTCCTCATTTCCCTTTGCTGAGATCCCAGATGCACTGGTGGCCATCAATGTCCTCAATGTACAGGTCCAGTACCCAGGGCTGGGGGCCATCAAGAGAGTGTTCAGGAAATCATGGGAAGGGGGAGTCAGTTTCCTGACTAGGGACCATTCTTTTTTTTCTAAATCCTCACCCGAGGACATTTTTCCATTTTTTGTTCAGATAGAGTGGGAGGGGGAGAGAGAGAGAGAGAGAGAGAGAGAGAGAGAGAGAGAGAAACATGGACGTGAAAGGGACACATCGAGTGGCTGGCTGCCACACACGACCAACCAGGGCCGGGGACAAACTGCAACCGAGGTACACGAGCCTAGCGGGAACCAAACCCGGGTCTCTTTAAACCACAGGCCGACGCTCTAACCGCTGAGCCAAACCGACCAGGGCTAGGGGCCATTCTTATTTGTGAAGGCCTAACAATTACTCTCCCACCAGTCGGTGTGGCTCAGTGGTTGAGCATCAACCCATGCACCAAGAGGTCACCAGTCGATTCCCGGTCTGGGCACATGCCCAGGTTGTGGGCCAATCCCCAGTGGGGGGCATGCAGAAGGTGGCCAGTGGATGTTCTCTCTCATCGATGTTTCTATCTCTCTCGCACTCTTCCTTCCTCTCTATCTAAAATTAATAAAGAAAAAATAATAACTCTCCCAACAACACAAATTGCCCAGCCTCCAGAGATCCCCTGGGATGGTGACTGTCAGGGAAGGCTGCCTAGAGGGTTGGGAGAACCTTAAAAGCAGAGACCCTCTGATTCAGTGCTGCCTCTTGAGCCCTTGGATTGAGGAGATATCAGTGTTTGTTGATTGAGGAGAAACTGGAGCTTTCTAGATGAGACTCTGGGCTGAGGGGTAGTGGGCAGAGCACTAAACCAAGAGCTGGGGTTCAAGCCACTGAGCACTGTGGGCCCTGGCCAAGGTAAGAAGCAGTGGGACATCTGGAAGTGGAGGGAAGAGACAGAGCTGCCTGTGCAGGACCTATCTCCATTTCCTACACATACATACCACTTTCTCCAGCAAGAGCCATCTCTAATTCCCCACCCCTCCCCCACCTCCAAACCAGGACAAAGCTGATTACCAACAAATCCCAGAGAAAGACAAAATTGTGATGGCACAGAGCACTTTACACCATTAGCTAAAAGCTTCTCTGGACCAAATGCCCCTCTTTTGTGCAACTCCGAAAACAAACTGTTCCGGCTGCAGCCCAGTGCTGTCATCATGCCCAGAATGTCCTTGTCCTTTCTGGACCTCTAGACCCCAATGACCCAAGTGGCTTCAGAAGCATCTCCTCTCTGGGGAGGCCAGAGGATGCCAGGGCCACTCACTGCTCTCTAGGTCCCCAAGCTCTCCTCTTCTGAGACCTCCTCCTGGACTCCCCTTCCCCAGCTAAGAATGGGTTCAGGAAAGCCTGGCTGTTAGCTGAGAAACCAGCCCAAAAGTTTGGTACCGGGAAGGAAGGGCTGATGGGAGAGAGTCAGGTGAGGGTCCCTGGGGCTCTGCCTTTCAGAGCAGTACACCTGACCCTCAGGACTCTAGGATTAAACCAGATTCCTTTGACTCTGATGTTCTCATCCTACCCCCTTCTCCCTATTCCCAGATGTCACCTGGCTCCAATCCCTGACATGAGGAGAGACAGCTATGTTCAGAGAGAGACTGGGGAAACCAGCCTAAACAGGGGACAAAGAGAATTGTTCCAGGTCACACAGCGGATAAGGTGGACACCAGCTCTCTCTAACTCCTGCCCCTGGACAGGGAAGAGACACTAGAAGAAGGCCTGGGGATCTAGTTCTGTCCCTTTGCTGGCATGTGACCTTGCCACTCTGCAAAAGGAGGACTTTAAATTAGCCCCTGGCTCCACCAGCAAAAGCACTGCCTGTTTCTAGGTGTTATAAGAGATACAACATTCTTCCATGACTTATAGGTGAAGAAGGCAGACCTCTGCTCTGTGTTAACCTCACTACTCCCCTTCCGGGAAGTGAAGATGCTCATTTCACAGACTGACAAGTGAAGCTGCAGTCAACCCAGATGGTGAGAAGCAAGCAGCATTGAGGTCATTCACAGCTGAGTGGGAGCAGGGGAAGGGCAGCCTGAATGGCATTTGAACAGGAAGAGATCTCATTTCAGGTCTGGCCCTTTAAGGCCTCCCTTTCTAGAAGCCAATGACATACCTGCTCCCTTTGGGCCTGTTAAAAGATGTCACCTGGCTCCATCCCTGGCAGAGCCATTTTAGAGCCAGGATGGGGGAGGGGGGGAGAGCTAGGAGAACAGGTAAGGCTTTAGGCATTACCAAACAATGGTTATCTAAGGCTGTACTCTGAGCAAAGCTGCATGAGGGCATGAGAAAAAAATCTCTCCTAGAAGTGGAAGGGCTTAAGTATTATGGGAAAAAAATCCTCAATCTCTCTGGGATTCCATCTCCCCAAATACAAAATAGGGGCTTAGGAGAAAATTCGGTGGTACATTGCTATACCAGCCCCCGCCCCCTCTTGGGACCTCATTATTCTGTCCGCCCAAAAGTTTGAAGCTAGGCGGTACCAGAAAATAGCAGCCTCAAGGGCAAGACTCTTCTTACAGCCCCGAGGGACTCAGGAAAGTCAACGCAGGTGCAGAGAAGGAGGAGGGAGTGCTGCGTCAGTGCAGCAGGCTCCAATTGGTAAAAGTTTACTGGCAAACCCTCCTGGGGTCTGAGCACCCTCACTTTGTCCAACTGTATAATGGGGACTTGGTGCTGAAGAGGCGGCAACAAAAAGTGGACAGCTTTATTAGTGACCTAGCGGACTCCAGAAGCTCCTAGGAAGGGAGATCCGGGTCCCTGGATCACCTCTCCCGCCCTTTAGATGCACCAGCCTCTAAGACCGTACCTCAGCCTCCTTAACTGGTTCCCTGGCCGCCCGACTGTCTCTTCCTGTGGTCGGTCAGTCCATCCAGCCGGCGTCAACAATCGTTCGTCGGTGCCTCGGCAACAGCCTGTCTCGGGTGGCCAGGGGTCCAGGCGCGGAGGTCAGCGCTGGGGGGAGGCGGGGCCGCGGGGCGGGCTCCGGCGGAAGGGCGAGTCTGGCTCAGGGCCGCGGCCCCGCCGCAGGCGTCCGGTGCCCCAGGGCATGCAGCTGCCCAGACCCAGCGCCGAGGCGAGCAGCGCGGGCGGGCGGCCGCGCCGGCCGCGGCGCGAGCCCTTCTTAAGACGCGACCCGTGCGCCGCCAGGTAGAGCTCGGACTGCGCCACGCCACCACCCAAACGGCTTAGGCTCTCGGCGCGGTGCGCCAGGCGCAGCTCGGCCGCCAAAAAAACGCAGTGCAGCTGCAGCACGCGGCTCTCCAGCTCCGACACCAGGCGCCGGCGGCCCTCCACCTCCAGCAGTCGCCGACGCGCTTCGGCCAGCTCCAGTGCGCGCCCCCCTACCCCCGCCGCGCCCGGGCCGCCGCCCGCACTCCCTAACGGCCCCGTATCCCCCGAACCCCCGTTAGCACTCTGGCGCCAGCGCTGCAGCTCTTGCCCACCGGTCGAACCCACAGACGCCGGGGTCGCCTCTGGCAGCGACGCGGCCTGAGTCGGAGTCGGGGTCAAAGTTGGAGGTGGGGGCGGGGGCTGAGGGGACGGCGGGGGCTCCCGGGGCGGCGGTGGCGGGGACCCCGGTTCCGCCGCCCCTTCCTGGGCCCCCGGGCCGCAGGCGCTGATGCGGCAGCCCGGCATCCCCCGCCCCCCGGCGGTCTGCAGCGATCTGTCCCCTGGTTTAGCCGGCCTCCCCCGGCGCGGGGGAGGATGGACGTCAAGAACGCAAGAAGTGTGCCCGCAGCCCCCGCGCGAGAGCCTCACGAGCCACCAGTGCCTCTTATAGAACACGGGGCGGAGCGCTAGACAGCAGAGCCAATCAACGTCTGGCATTCTCTGAACCCGCCTCCTCGGCCCCTAAGGTTCTTGACATTGCCCACATCCTTCACGTCTTTCGTCCGGCTCTGCCTGGATCAGGCATCCATCACCTCCCCCCAGATTTTGGGTGGAAAGAGGACTGCATCTTCTCTGGTTTGGCCCGAGTCGTAAGCTCTGGTAGTTTGTGCTTATAAATCATGGACTCCGGTCTCCACCTGGGGGAGGGTTTTGCCCATGCGACAGTGAGAGCCTGGACTACAACTCAGGAGCACAGTGCTCCTTTCTGTAATGCACTCCTTGGTCCAATCGGTTCTGCTCGGTGTCCTGGGCCACAAGGCTCACCAGGACCCCCTTCTCCAATCTCCTTGGGGGCAGTGGAGAGATTAACACGGAGGGGCTACTGATGTCTTGATGGGGATCTGATTGGATATATTCCCCACCAAGAAGGCTCTTCGCGTGCAGAACAAACTACAGCGCTGCCGCTTAGTCCAGCCCAGCTTTCGCGAACCTTGATGGACCCCCAGAGGAACCCTGGACCACACAGTGTGCAAAATTCTTTCCATGCTCTTGTTCCTGTTTGCTCCTCCTAATAGATGTCCCCACCCTTTACACAGAGGGAAACAGATTCAGAAGGTGCAGTGGTGCCTTCCCCAAGGTCACACTGCAGGTCAGTCGCTGAATATGGATCACTGGATGGGAGCAGCTCTGCCATTTATGCCCTCTTGGGGCGCAGATACTGGGGAGGGCCTTCACTGGGACCTTGTCATCCTGGCAAAACAATAAAACGGAGTCCTGCCCATTTTCCCCACACCAGATATGACCCTGCCATACCCGCTCCAAACTCTGGCCCAGACACCAGGGCCCTGCCTCAGTTTCCATCCCTTTAAAGGTGCCATCAGAAATGGGAGGTCTCTGTGATGGGCGGGGCAGAGGCTGGAGGGCCAGAAACTAGTTCACACCGATTGGGAACGGTAGCTAACCCTGGGCTCAGCAGGACTTGCCAAAAATGTGGCCAGTGTGATTACTGCCCTTGCTTGAAGAGGAGGCAGATGGGGGAATAGCACTCGCTTGATGCGGATGAAAACGATGGAGCCTCCCCCTCCATGTTCTCTAAGTGCTTTCAGGTGCCTTAGATTGACTGACTGACTCATGGGTGAGACAGCTGGGCTCCTGAGAGGCAGCTCAGAAGGGGCTCGGAGAGGAGGGAGAGATCGATGATCAAGCTCAGTGAAGAGGAAGGGAGGATGCCTTAGGAGGAGGGAGTGAGGGGGAGGGTGTTCAGTGACCAGGAGTGGTGGAGGCTCAGTGGAGGGCAAGGGGAGGGGCTCAATGAGGGCAAGAAAAGGGGTTCCTTGACTGTGATGGGCTCAGGGAGGGGGGAATTTAGTGGGTGCATTGGTTCTAGAGGGGAGTCACAGAGGAAGAAGAAAGAAGAGAAGTCAGATGGAGGCTCAGGAGTTACCAGGTTGCCCCCAGCAAGAAGGAATGTCCTGTTTAATGGTCTCCTTTGTGTCATCAAACCTTGTGTCTTTCTCTGTGCAGAAGACCACACACACATCATTATCATCATCACCACTGTGGGGAGATTGACAGGTATTTTGACTGAAGCAGGCAGATCACTGCTCCTAACTTCTGGGGGATGAATAAGGGGAACAAGACCAGGACTGACCCCCATCATCCAGGGAACCAGACAAATCTGAGTTCAAATCCTACACTGGGCCCATTTAGGTAACCTTGGGAAAGTCCTTTCTCTAAGTAGGAGGAGATACTCAACCTATTTTTTAAAATGTTTTTATTGATTTTTTAGAGAGAAAAGAAGGGAGAGAGAGAAACATTGATGTGAGACACATCGCTTGGTTGTCTCCTGCACACCCCCTACTGGGAATCGAGCCAGCAACCCAAGCTTGTGCCCTGACTAGGAATCGAACAGGGACCTCTCAGTCCATGGGATGATGCTCAATCCACTGAGCTACACCAGCTGAGCGCAACCTGTTTTTATAGAATAGATGAATGTTCTCTATCTCCTCACAACATACATAAGAAAAGGGCATCAGCTGCCTTTTCTTCCTGATGAGAAACCAAAGCCCAGAGAAGTAAAGAGACTTGCCCAAGGTCACACAGTAGATAAGTAGTTGGTCAGGCAAGAATTCAAACACAGATTTGACCTAACTCACAGTCATAGCTCACCTCCCTGTTATTCTCTGATATGTCACCTATTCCTATCCTCTATGGCATTTTCCATATATGTATATTTTTTAGTTACCCTACCCTACCCTAGACTGGTTTTGCTTATCATTAGATTCCCCTGAAGTTAAGTAGAATGTCTGGCCCCATAAAGCACCCAGTAAACATTTGTTTGAATTGAAAAATGATGCAAGGGTAGATAGAGCTTATTGAGAATAGAGAAGTCCTCTTCTTTATTCACTCATTGATTCATTCATTTGACAAATTTGATCATTACCTTCTCTGTTGGGCTGGCCCCTGGAGTTTACAGCAAAGATCAGATGGGGCCTTCAGGGAACACACAGTCTAGGGGGGACACAGACATATGATGGCAGTTCAGTGAAGTATCTATCTACTGGGATGGGGAAACACAGGGGCTCTGGGAACACGAAGCTGACACTGATCCCAGTTGGGTGGGGAGGGAATCAGGGAGAGTTCTTAGTAGATTATATTTAAACAGAGACGTGAAGGATGAATTAAAGCAAGCGATGCAAAGATGGTGGAGCAGATGGAAAAGGAGAGGATTCACAATGGGAATATTGTGTGCACAGGACCAGAGGTGAGGACTTTGGCATCTGCCAGCTTCCTTTGTTGCCCTGGGTTCTGCACTCCCAGAAATGGATAGGGGCCACAGCCAACCACCTCTTAGTGCATAGCCAGCCTGGCAAACACAATATTTGGACTTAGGAAGATAATTTTTAGATTATAATAATCATTGTGTTTTCTTTCTGATCTTTATAATAGTTATACATTCCTCCTGCAGAAAAGATGGGAAATAGAGAAAATAGTAAAATAAAAACATAGAGACAAAGGCATCTGGAATTAGAGAGACTTGAGTTTGAATTGAAGTTCAGTCCTTTCCTAGCTGTGCAACCTTGAGAAAGGCATGTTTTCTCTGTGATCTTCAGGGTCTGAGGAATGGAACTGCTAACACCTAGAGCATAGACAAGGGTATTGATAGATACAGGGATTTGTCCAAGGTGTCAGAAAGCTAGAAATATCTGTCCTTGGTCTGAGTCAGAGACTCTGAAAGAGAAGAGACAGCCTGAGGGGGACCTGATGCCAGAGTCCTGTCCATTATATACACACCCCTCCCTGGACAGCAGCCAGCAGAAAAACAGCCTTATGGTGGGAGAGTGTGGCTGTGGCCCAAATCAATATCCCCTCTATCAGCTGAGAGTGCATGGGCCAGGAGGTCAAGGCCTAAGAAGTCGACTTCCATCCCAGCCTAGAAGATTCAAGTCTCTGCTAAGAGACCCAACCCCTCCCTTTCAGTCTCTTCCCTGCAACCTGACCTGGCACCCTCCAGGATGTGATATCAGTTTAATAATTTAGCAGATGCAGATAAAGATAGCAGCTCTGAAAATAACCCAGCTAGGCTCAGCCTTCATCTCCTCTTTCCCCAGCAGACTTCCTGCTCTCTTCGAAAGGTTTCTGGTTGCCCCCACACCTGTCAGTGCCCCTGCCCACCAGTGGGCACCTGACTTGACACCTCAGCTTTTTCCTTCTTCTAGCTCTTCTCCTTCTCCACCCTCCTCACCTCTTCTTTCTCTCAATTCTCATATTAAGAGTTTTTATACTAATTAGAGCTTTAAAAATCTTGTGATGGAAGTCAGAAGCTTTTGGGTTTAATTCGTTATGTGCTCTGAGCAAGTAAGTGCCTTCTCTTCTGTTCCTCCATTTGTATAATGAGGCCTCTGGATTCCTAAGTGTGGCAGGAACAAAATGTTTGGGTAGTGGCAATTACTTGAACGGGACTGGATGTCTTCCCCAGAAAGGCACAGCTGCAATGTCAGTGCCATCTTAGCCAGCAGCACGATAACCCACCCTCCTGCTCCATTCAGAAAGCTCATAGGTTCTCTTTGTTTTTAACTTCTCCTGTGATGAAAAATGCCCTAGTTATTATTCCTAGAATAAAAGGCTGCGTATGATGTGTGTTCACAATGGATGTCGCAGGTTTCATGTGCTTTTGGTACTTCATCACGTTTCTGACAAGTCGAAATTTTACTTCCTCTGGGAAGTTGGGAAGAGCAAAACCCCTTCCCCCTTGATGGGTCTTTGCTCAAATCACCTCACCTTTATGAGTCTCAGTTTTTGCATCTCTACAGTGGCCAGGCATTGAAGGGTAAGCAGAAGAAGGTAAGATTTCGCAATCTTTAGACTGTAAGCTCCAAAAGTGGCCGAGATCCATTCTGTTTTCATGCATTCATTCAACAACACAATTAAGCACTTAATATGAACCAACCACTATGCAAGGTGCTAGGGGCACAGCAGAAAATAAAAGCAGCACAGTCCTTGTTCCCTCAAAGCTTATATTTCAGAAATAAAAATAATTAAATCCCAAGGCATGTGTCACTAGGAATAAAAAAATACCTGATAATATTTAATTAGTACTTACTCTATGTCAGGTACTGACCCTATAATGTGCTATTATTAACATACCCCATTTTATTTATTTATTACTTATTTATATATATATTTTTGGTACATGCCCCTAGCGGGAATCGAACCCGAGAGTGTCTGGTCCACAGGCTGACGCTCCAACTGCTGAGCCAAACAGGCCAGGGGAGCATACCCCATTTTATATAGGAGGAAACTGAAGGACAGGGTGGTCAAGTAAATATGGCCAAGGTCACATGGTCAAGGAGTGGCCAGGCTAGGATTTAACACACAGACAGTCTGCCTCCAGAGCCTGT